GCCAGAATTTCTTTAAAAATTTCAAAATACTGACTCTTCTTTCTTTATTCATTTTTGAATCCGATTGCTTAATCCTCAAGCACATATCTGCTATTCCCGAAAGGCCATCTCATAAATAATTATCCACTTAGGAATGCGTAGCACGATCTTTATCTGCCAACCCCGAGCTCAGATCTAGTTAAAGGTTGAATACTATACAATGCCAAAAAAATGTACAATCATTTGCCGTTGAATATCAAGTCGCTTTCATTCTTTCCCGCATTTCGCAAAGCTCTGAAATCATACTTACTGGAGAGAGCCCTATATGCGGTAAACGACCTTTTTTGTTTAATCATGAACAATTTTGAATTTTAAAATTTTGATCATATCACACACAGGTCAAAGGTCGAGTATTTAATATTTTATAACTCTTAAAATTATATCTATTTACAATTTTCCTATTGTAAAATTTTACTGACACGTCTTTTTTTGTATTCTGCAAATTGTAATTTTAATGACTTAAATTTTTTTGAATTGTATGATTTGTATTGTATATTTTTTATTATTTGTATATTTTTTGTGCTTTTGTTTGTTTTGTAAATGCTTTGTCGATGAAGCTATTTTGGTTTTTTGCACAATAAAGCGTTATTTGTTTGTTGTTTGTTTGTATGGTCTTTTTACTTTGCGCTCTACTTACAGCAAAAGTGATTTGATTATTTTATTCTAATCCTACGGCATTCAGAGATACCTTGTTAAATTCCAAAATCTCTCCATTTTTCAAATAATATGTTAAGAGTGCTTGTAACTACCCTAGTACATCATTTCAAGGGGCGTGCATTTATACACTCTGTCCCTTATAGATCCCATCCACAATGCCTTCTAGTTAGACGATCGTTTATCTAACTACCAGAAAATTATGGCTCTATTGTCTGTCCGGGAGATGCTGGGACCTTCTTTATTACCGTTCTATATAAATTGTCGCGATTTTTGCTGGTTTTCGTGGATTTATTAAAGTCGGAAAAAGTCGTTTATCTCTCTGTGGGAAATTAATTGTGACAGTGCTCTGGAACGAGTAACCGTTACAAATTTTCGAACAAAAGCAGATAAAAATGTTTTACGGGTATTCTCGGGGGGTTTTATAGAGATAATTTTTGTCATATTGTTATGAATCGTCACTTTTTTGTTATTTAGTGTTGTTGAGGGTCTCTCTTTATTGCCAGTTGAAGAAATACAAACGGTGTTGCCAGAAATTTTAGAGCGAATTTCTTCAATGAAGTCTTAAAAATCTTCACATTTCTTCAAATTTGCAAAAAATTCCATCTTGTTAACTATTAGCAAGTTTAATTTATTAGGATAAGCCAGTTCAGGAAAGTTTTCTCGTTATAATTCGGTTTTAATATATTCTTTTGATGATAATAATGTTATTTAATAATGAATTTATACCCCTCAACTCAAGAATCATACTTCTTCAGCTAATGGTAAACTGCTGATGGACACATGCCATCCAGTTCAAAAGGACACAGTGCATGAAAGTTTTCTCGTTATAACTCGGTTTTAATATATTCTTTTGATGAATTTATTTTTTTTATTATTACTATTATTATGATGATAATAATGTTATCTAATAATGAATTTATATCCCACAATTGAAGAATCATACTTCTTCAGCTAATGGTAAATTGCTGATGGACGCATGCCACCAGTTCAAAAGGACCCAGTCCAGGAAAGTTTTCTCGTTATAATTCGGTTTTAATATATTCTTTTGATGATGATCACGTTATTTAATATTGAATTTATACCCCACACCCGAAGAATCATACTTCTTCAGCTAATGGTAAACTGCTGATGGACACATGCCATCCAGTTCAAAAGAACCCAGTGCAGGAAATTTTTCTCGTTATAATTCGGTTTTAATATATTCTTTTGATGATAATAATATTACTTAATAATGAATTTATACCCCACAACCGAAGAATCATACTTCTTCAGCTAATGGTAAACTGCTGATGGACGCATGCCATCCACTTCAAAAGGACCCATTGCAGGAAAGTTTTCTCGTTATGATTCGGTTTTAATATATTCTTTTGATGATAATAACGTTATTTAATAATGAATTTATACCCCACAACCAAAGAATCATACTTCTTCAGCTAATGGTAAACTCCTGATGGACGCGTGCCATCCAGTTCAAAAGGACCCAGTCCAGAAAAGTTTTCTCGTTATAATTCGGGTTTAATATATTCTTTTGATGATAATAGTGTTATTTAATAATGAATTTATACCCCACAACCGAAGAATCATACTTCTTCAGCTAATGGTAAACTGCTGATGGACACATGCCATCCACTTTAAAAGGACCCATTGCAAGAAAGTTTTCTCGTTATAATTCGGTTTTAATATATTCTTTTGATGATAATAACGTTATTTAATAATTAATTTATACCCCACAACCGAAGAATCATACTTCTTCAGCTAATGGTAAACTGCTGATGGACACATGCCATCCAGTTCAAAAGGACCCACTGCAGGAAATTTTTCTCGTTATAATTCGGTTTTAATATATTCTTTTGATGATAATAATATTACTTAATAATGAATTTATACCCCACAACTGAAGAATCATACTTCTTCAGCTAATGGTAAAGTGCTGATGGACGCATGCCATCCACTTCAAAAGGACCCATTGCAGGAAAGTTTTCTCGTTATAATTCGGTTTTAATATATTCTTTTGATGAATTTATTTTTTTTATTATTATTATGATGATAATAATGTTATCTAATAATGAATTTATATCCCACAATTGAAGAATCATACTTCTTCAGCTAATGGTAAACTGCTGATGGACGCATGCCACTAGTTCAAAAGGACCCAGTCCAGGAAAGTTTTCTCGTTATAATTCGGTTTTAATATATTCTTTTGATGATGATCATGTTATTTAATATTGAATTTATACCCCACACCCGAAGAATCATACTTCTTCAGCTAATGGTAAACTGCTGATGGACACATGCCTTCCAGTTCAAAAGGATCCAGTGCAGGAAATTTTTCTCGTTATAATTCGGTTTTAATATATTCTTTTGATGATAATAATATTACTTAATAATGAATTTATACCCCACAACCGAAGAATCATACTTCTTCAGCTAATGGTAAACTGCTGATGGACGCAAGCCATCCACTTCAAAAGGACCCATTGCAGGAAAGTTTTCTTGTTATAATTCGGTTTTAATATATTCTTTTGATGATAATAACGTTATTTAATAATGAATTTATACCCCACAACCAAAGAATCATACTTCTTCAGCTAATGGTAAACTCCTGATGGACGCGTGCCACCAGTTCAAAAGGACCCAGTCCAGGAAAGTTTTCTCGTTATAATTCGGTTTTAATATATTCTTTTGATGATGATCATGTTATTTAATATTGAATTTATACCCCACACCCGAAGAATCATACTTCTTCAGCTAATGGTAAACTGCTGATGGACACATGCCATCCAGTTCAAAAGAACCCAGTGCAGGAAATTTTTCTCGTTATAATTCGGTTTTAATATATTCTTTTGATGATAATAATATTACTTAATAATGAATTTATACCCCACAACCGAAGAATCATACTTCTTCAGCTAATGGTAAACTGCTGATGGACGCATGCCATCCACTTCAAAAGGACCCATTGCAGGAAAGTTTTCTCGTTATGATTCGGTTTTAATATATTCTTTTGATGATAATAACGTTATTTAATAATGAATTTATACCCCACAACCAAAGAATCATACTTCTTCAGCTAATGGTAAACTCCTGATGGACGCGTGCCATCCAGTTCAAAAGGACCCAGTCCAGAAAAGTTTTCTCGTTATAATTCGGGTTTAATATATTCTTTTGATGATAATAGTGTTATTTAATAATGAATTTATACCCCACAACCGAAGAATCATACTTCTTCAGCTAATGGTAAACTGCTGATGGACATATGCCATCCAGTTCAAAAGGAAAAGGACCCAGTGCAGGAAAGTTTTCTCGTTATAATTCGGTTTTAATATATTCTTTTGATGATGATCATGTTATTTAATATTGAATTTATACCCCACAACCGAAGAATCATACTTCTTCAGCTAATGGTAAACTGCTGATGGACACGTGCCATTCAATTCAAAAGGACCCAATACAGGAAAGTTTTCTCGTTACAATTCGGTTCTAATGTATTCTTTTGATGATAATAATGTTACTGAACAATGAATTTATACCCCACAACCGAAGAATCATACTTCTTCAACTAATGGTAAACTGATTATGGACACATGCCATCCAGTTTAAAAGGACCCAGTCCAGGAAAGTTTTCTTGTTATAATTCGGTTTTAATATATTCTTTTGATGATAATAATGCTACTTAATAATGAATTTATTCCCCACAACAGAAGAATCGTACATCTTCAGCTAATGGTAAACTGCTGATGGACTCAATCCATCCAGTTCGAAAAGACCCAGTCCAGGAAAGTTTTCGCGTTATAATTCGGTTTTAATATATTCTTTTGATGATAATAATGTTATTTAATAATGAATTTATACCCTACAACCGAAGAATCATACTTCTTTAGCTAATGGTATACGGCTGATGGACACATGCCATCCAGTTCAAAAGGACCCATTCCAGGAAAGTTTTCTCGTTATCATTTGGTTTTAATATATTCTCTTGATGATATCAGTGTTATTTAATAATGAATTTATACCCCCAACTCAAGAATCATACTTCTTCAGCTAATGGTAAACTGCTGATGGACACATGACACATTCCATCCAGTTCAAAAGGACACAGTCCAGGAAAGTTTTCTAGTTATAATTCGGTTTTAATATATTCTTTTGATGATAATAATGTTATTTAATAATGAAATTATAGCCCCCACCTCAAGAATCATACTTCTTCAGCTAATGGTAAACTACTGATGAACACATGCCATCCAGTTCATTTTTTTGTCACATATCACATGTGACATATTACATGCATGTCACTAAAACGTTGTCAGTGTCACTGTACAAAAATTTCAAAGACACTGACTATAAATCTATTATTTTAAACTCCAGTACAATAATTATATAAAGACAAAGTGTTCAAATTTCATCCAAAATATGTCTAGCCCTCGTAGTGACAAATCAAATGAAACCCTACCCACCACAGCCGAAGAACCTCGCCCAGCAAACCTTGAAGACATCAAAACCATTCTCATCACCATTGAAAGCTACAAGAACCTAACCCCAATATACCCGGTTTCGGATATAAAATCTTCCTTAAAGTACCTAAACGAAGATCTGGGTGAGACCAATCTTGTTCCAGTGACAGACGATGAAAACGTAACAGTTATGCAATCGTTTGAACTGAGAATTGACGTGAATTCTCCTAAAGACGTTGATTTGCTGGCATCTAATCCGATTTTCCTGACAGCGACGCAGTTTTCAGGCACTTTTGATTCTTCGTTATATGAGCAGCTGAAGCCTGTGGAGACTATAGTGTCAGATGGGGACGTTGAGAGTTTGTTTAGTGCTTATGAAGAAGTTCCTGAACAAAAGGAGGAGAGTGCTGTTAAAAAAGCAGTTGCAAAGAAAGGTGAGTTCAAGATATACCTATTGTAGATTGTATAGGAGTGGGAAAAGTTAATAACCGCTACTTTGCATAAATGCATTTCTCTCTAAAAAACAGAGATAATAGTTGTTAAATACTAGTTTTGAAACTACTGTTCGAGATGCTTTGATGTTATTTTGGTTCGTAAGTTTTGTGACAAAGAATGTTATTGTTTAATTTATTGTGTTATTGTTTTAAAAGTAAATGTTTTCTCATTATTTAACTAATGTTAACTAAAGCATATACTGTTCAATTTGCAAAGTTTGAGTCTTTCGTCACATATTGTCATTCTCTCTCTTATCCATGTTTATCACATGAAATGGAAATTTTGTGTCAAAAACGTGAGTCCATTATATTTCTTACATCATACGATTATTTATTTCGTTTTACATACGGATCACCTTCATTACGTATAAAGAATCGTACTTCCTTGTCTGATGTGCATGAATAGAAAAAGGCAAACATCATATTTATTGTATTACCCGCCGAAATCGAACAAAAGAATATCGCCAACTGTCAACGTTGTCGTTAAATTTTAACGACTCCGGTAGTTTCTCGTAAATTTTTGTGGGATTTTCTGTGTTTATTTAGTTATTTGCGATTTTATTTGTGTTTAAAATGCCGTCCCGTTTTAGTGAAATAGAACAACGGTTCATATTAAAAGTTATCGAGTATTTGAAACCCGAAAAAGATGGTGAAAAAAACCCTGTTACCGACACACTGTTTACGATGTAATTGGACAACTACCGAGTTAAAATTTTGTAACTAAATCGAAAATATTCACGTGTTTTATAGAGAGCATCGAAGCTTTAGGAATTTCATGTCCAACTGTGCAAAGAATAAGTTCCAGAGGAATCGTGAAAGATAAAGAACAAAAAGCAGCAAAACAAGTCACAATATTTGTTTATCCCCTGGAATTCCTGCTTATGAGATCCATGAACATATTAATAGAGGACGTATTTATTCATTGCATACACTGCGGGTAGGCTACAATAAATTTGTCATTGTTCACTATTTTGTTATTAAATTTGCTATTGTTAGTTTACAACCAGAGATATAAACAACTCATGGACCAAGTAGTTATTAGTGTTCTCTCTGGACCAAGTCAAGAAATACGTGAAAACCAATATGGCGCCTAAAATGATGACGAAAGTTTCAAACTTCGCAAATTGAACAATAGCTTATTTGTCTGTTGTAATATTCTGTGCTAAAGATTTTACTTCTTTATTATTTCATCTGAGAATTATAACATATATATTAATTACAGTACGTCTGTCCGTTCTGTAGCTACGAGGGTATCCGTGAGATGGGAAACGATATTCTCTCGATGTTTTTCGTAAAAAATTAGACGACACGTTCCATCAATAAAAATTCGACAAAATTTCAAGAAATCAATAAAATGAGTGGGCGGAGCGATTTGCGGTGACGTACTCGTCAAGTCGACGTATAAAATATATTGCTATTTATTTAAATGTTTTTTGTCCGCATTCCTTTCATAGACACAGATCCAGCAGACGTACTTTATATCATGTGTAATGTGTATGTATTTAATGGAATCGATTATGCTGTGTATAATTTTAGTTTAAAAGTAATCTAAATACAATCGTTTACTGTCCATTCGTGCCGATGTTTGTGGTTCAGTGTAAAAATAAGGGCCAGTTGAGTGTACTACCAATTTTCGATCGTGCATGGGTGAATATCTTAGCTCACAAAAGGGCCAACAAAAACAATAAATAGAATAACTGATAATCTAAAGATAGTGACACCAAACCTTCAACTTTAGTTTCAAAACTCGCAATAAGAAACCTTAGTATCTGCGGGCGGCGACCTGCTAACTAACAAAAACTCTTCAGTTTTGAATGATATAAATATGGCATATTTTTGAATGTATGAAACTACAAACCTTGGTATGAAGGCAGTTTCTATATTATTATTATCTCTCTTTTATTAAAGTTCAGGACAGCATAGTTAGATTTTCTGGAATAGTGATCAGGGTTTCCTCTGCCATGCTCTTTTACTTGTGAATTCCAGGCAGAATACCGCACTCCTTTCATTTCATTTAATAAAATAAGTAGGGTTATTTACAAATTTAGCGTTTTATTTACAAATTACAACCTAAAATTTACCAAAATATTGCTTCTGTCGAGGCGCATCTGAGGTAATCACAATAAAAAATAATTTTAACACAACGTAGGTTCCTTTTCATTTAAATTGTTGGTCAAAATATTACCTCTTCAACTTTGTTGACGACCCTGGGCTGTAGTACTACAATACTGTATATCTAGATTATACTTTTTGAATCTAGTAATTATTGATCTTCTAGTTCATCCAATATATTTCTGATTACAATCCATTATTGAATAGGAGCAATTTTATACACCCTTTGCGGTTAATTTTGCCAATTAAAGTGATATTTATGTTTTATTTTTCCTTTTTTCTAGATAAGCCTCAGAAAGCCAACAAGAAAACTTCAGAAAAGGACAAAACATCCAGATCAAAATCCATCACAAGCAAAGCTTCCAAAAACTCGAAAAAATCCAAAAAATCAAAAGGTTCGACGAGCTCCGCTGCCACTACTAAATCAACTGAAGCACCCATTAAATCAGAAGTTTACGGCATGTGCACCCTAGACCTTATCCCTCTATTCTACGGTAAAACCACCTTTACAGAAGCCCTATTACTTCATCCCGTCAAAAGAACCAGTCATTTAACCAGTACTTTCAAGAATTATCCCAAAGTAACCGTTACTGTATCGGTAAAAGACGAATCTAAGCTGGTAGAACCAGCAAATATTTTAAACTTCACAGCCGAGTCAATTTTCTATCCTCCTAGCTTGATAGCAACGGATATGGACTGTAAAATAAGCGTGATGCTTCCCTTGGAACACCAAGGACAAGCACCTGTGGTTTTCCAGAACCCGAAAATATGTATGAAACCACCCTCGAAGGAAAGTTACAAACGCTGGCCTTGTATGCACGAAATCGGGTACAATGCTAACACCACCAAGTACTTCGTAGATGAAGGTTTCGATAATATCAAGAACAAGGAAAAATTGAACCTAAATCAAGCCTTTGAAGACTCAAACACTCGCATCGAGTATAACTACATAAAAAGAAACGTCTTGTTCAGAAGTGGATTGTGTGAATTCATGAATCACTTATACAGTTACAAAAAAATAGTTTTAGAGCTGTTCGTCACTACTAAAACTAGGGCCAGACATGATTATATTTCCGAGGATATAGAAAATATGGATTCCACCAGTAGAGGAAAATCAAAGACAAATCCCTATTTACATTTAATGGCTATTTTGGATCTTTCAAGTTTAATGTATCCAGGGGTAACAAAAACACGCATTGCAAGTCCATTGTTAACATTCTCGTTCGAAGAGGCTGCTAAATTGGGACTGGATAACTCATTTTTTGCTCCTAAATCTAAAGTTGATGTTGCTTTGAAGAAAGGAGGAAAGCTTAAACAAGAAATAAACAAAGGGAAAAAAGTTGTAGAGAAAAAAGAGCAAGCTTCTAAAAAAGATAAAGCTTCCACTGTGAAAGAAGAAAAGAACTTAGCCAGTAAACTTCCAGCTAAACCTGAGGAACCTCTTCCACCTGAACCATCTGTCCCAGTGTATGACGAAGAAGGAAGACAGTGTTTTATAGTAGTTGAACTCGAATTCCTCAAGCCTATTAGTCCAAAACGTGATTTAGAGGATATGGAGGTTTGTTTGGATGATTTCCAAACGGAAGATGTCAGTGTATCGAAGACCATTTTGAGCAAGAAGGTAGCTCAAGATTTTTATAGACAAACTATTAATGATATTATATTTGATTTAAATAAACATTATGCTGAGTACTCTGAAAAAAAGATGTCAATACCTCAAAAAGATTATGGTGATTTTATTAACTATCTTCGTCTGAATGGATCTTATAACACTTATACATCTTCTATTATCAATGCTGCTACTTTGTTGGTTACTAACAAGTACAAATGTCTGGAAGAGGATCTGAATAACAACAGGGCATACCAGAATTTGATTTCGGAGGTTTTTAATGATCTTGTGTCGGAGATGCATGGCGTTTTGAACAGTTTGGTGTGTTATGGAATGAAGCCTTGTTTAAAAAAGAGTGATAAGAGTGAAGACAGTTATTTTCTGGCAAAGGAAGCTGCTGAATTGAAGTATCTGGAGATTGCTGACAGGTATCTATACTAATATATAAAATCCTTAAGTGACTGACATACTGATTAATCACGATCCTGCTCAAGCCACTCAACGTAAGAAGCTCAATTTTGGCATACAGGTTGATTCTAGGGTGTAGAGGTTCGATAAGAAGGGATTTTTCGAAATTCCAGTTTCAAGAGGGTGAAACCACCCCTCAAATATTACAATATATTTTACTTAAAAAACGGTCAAGTTTCCGAAAAAACGCTTAAACACGTATATTTTAGTTTGTTTTTTTATATATTTTAAGATTTGTTAAAAATGTATACAGGGTGTTTCGAAAAATCTGGTCATTGATTAATGACGATCCTGCTTAAAGCGCTTGACGTAAAAAGCTGATTTTTGGAAAACGGATTGACTTTAAGGTGTAGAGGTTCGATAAGAAGGGATTTTTCGAAACTCGAATTCTAAGGGGGTGAAACGACCCCTCAAATATTAGAACATATCTTATTTAAAAACCGGTGAGTTTTTCGGAAAAACTCTTAAACACGTATATTTTATTTTGTTGTTTTAAATATTTTAAAATTTAAAGAAAAAGACAAAAATAATTTCAAAAATCTGAAAGGCGGATATTTATGACCCCGCAAAACTGCAATTCTTTTCCTTTTTAACCGACTCTCTATCTTCAGTAGTTTCCGAGATACCCATAGAGAACATCGTAGGAAACTCACCCTGTATTCAACACTATGAACAACTCTTTGCCCCAATTTAAGCAACCCATTCCGAGTAGATACCGATTCTGTAGAATAATGATTTATTTCCAGATATTTCCTGGAGAGAATAGTAAATGACAGCGAAGACAAGGCAGATTACTGGTTCGACTACGCCATTTTCAACACAGAAATCAACCAACCAGACAAAGCCTTCGAATGTGTTAACACAGGCCTTCAAAAAAAACCTACACACAAATACAGCTTGCTACTCCTCGGCATTTTGCTCTGCGACAAAGACAGAACGCAGGAAGCGGAAACTTGCTTCCTGAACGTCATGGTAAAGGCTCCAAAATGGATTGAAGGCTGGTGTGTCCTGTATCTCTATTACGAAAAGGTCTCTAGACAAGACGGTATGGATATGGCCATGGATATGGTGAAGAAATACTCAGAACATCCTCACGAAATAGATTACATCACGGAGTTCGAGGATTTGGCTTGGAGTTCCAAGAATGTTCCGGAGGGGATGTTCTTTAGGACGGCTGTTTTGTTGTTGAAAATGAGGCTTTTCTCGTGGGTCGAGTTGGCTTTAGCTCAGGAGGTGACTGTTCCTAAGTACTATGGTTATGTAAATTATTTGTTGGCTGTGGGGTATTATTATCAGAAGAATTTTGAACATGCGTTGGAGCATATCAACGAAGCCAAGGAGTTTCAAGGTACACTGTTCTGAATTATTATTGTTTTTGTATCGATAAAACATATGGTGTTAAATTATACAGGGTTCGGCAACAGTGCGTCAGGCATTGTAACTACTAGAATAAAAAAACTTGAGAATTTTGTTTGAGTGCAAACCTAAAGTATGTACTATAATGTATGTCAGGAAAATATTTTAACTTCTATAGGGTAGCTCAAGAAAAGTGTCAGTGGATCGGGATATTTTTTTTTAATGAAACACCATGTATATTATTGTATTTTTGGCTTCCTTTCAGATCACTTTACACAATCCTAAGATACGAGTAAATATATTTCGATCGTTTCAGAGATATTAATAAATAAATAAAAATATATATTTTCAGATTTTCTTAATTTTTTTTAATACATAAATTATTAAAAATACAAGAACTGTCTTGAAATCAAAACTATATTAGGTATTTACTTTAGATGGTCTGTACTTACTTTGCTATAAATATGGTAATCGTAAATCATACAGGATGTTCAAAATTCCACGTCAAACTTGATCAAAGCCACCCTTTGATTTTTCGCTCATATTTTACGCGTGCATCTGCAAAACCACTAAAAATTTTGAAATACTTTAATAACAAAAAATGTTTATTTTTTAACTCTCTATCTAATAAAAAAACTATATACAGGATGTTCCATTTGAAAAAACGAAGAAAATTTATTTTATATTTTAGAAAGTTTGGCGTAGAATGTTGAACACCCTGTATGATTTAAGATTACGATATTTATAGGAAAGTAAGTATAGACCATCTAAAGTAAATGCCTAATATAGTTTTAATTTCAGGACAGATTTTGTAGGTATTTGTGTGCAGGGTGGTCCGAACTGTATTCCGGAAACTTGAGCAGCATATTCTGCAGATAAAAATAAGTAAAAAAGCTCTTATAAATGTATGTGCTAAAATGCTTAGTTTCGGAGATACAGGGTGTAGAAGTTTCATTTATTATTTCGATTTTTTCCAAATAATTTATGAAATAACATCAATATTTGGATGAAATTTGGTATCTGGGAGTTTTTTGATATGAGGAATTCGATTTTGATGTCAATATGGCTCCTACTTGTAGAGGGCGCCACCTACATATTTTTAACTGGTTTGAAGAGTAATAACTTTTCGTCCGTACCTGTATAAAAATATAATAATATACGTAAAAAAATATACATTTACGATGTTTTTAACTTAAAAAAGATATCTTAATAAAAATCGCTAAGAGTAATAGTTCTCGATATATTTGAAATCGAAATTATCAATACCTATCATCATTGACATAAATTAAACATGTTGACTAAATAGTTAATAGACGGAAATCATAAATTTGAAATGTTTTTGTGCCAAATCATCACCAATCATCATTTTGAAGAAAATTTTATGATTAATTTAAAAAACTAAAAATTTTCCAAATTTATCTTTTTAATCCAATAACTATCTACTCAACATGATTATTTTTTGTCAATAATGACATGTATTGACTATTCCCATTCTAAATATCTCGAGAAGGGTTGCTCGTAACGATTTTTACCAAGAGACATTTGTTACGTAGAAAAATACGAAAATGTATATTTTTTTACTCAGCAGTTCTATACAGGTACGGACAAAAAGTTATTACTCTTCAGAACAGTTAAAACACGTGTAGGTGGCGCCCTCTACAAATAGGAGTCATAATGACATCAAAATCAAATTTCTCATGTCAAAAAACTATCAGACACCAATTTTCATCCAAATATTGACGTTACTTCAGAAATTATTTGGAAAAAATCGAAATTAAAATGAAACTTCTACACCCTGTATCTCTTAAACTAAGCATTTTAGGACATACATTTATAAGAGGTTTTTTACTTATTTTTATCTGCAGAATATGCTCCCGAAACCCGAAATTTCCGTAATACAATTCGGACCACCCTGTATATCATTTTTTAAGGAAGGTTGATAGATTAAATTCTTCGAAGTGACACCCTGTATAATTAAATCAAACGTTCGCATATTAACATAATATTTCCATTGCTAAAATTCCATTTTCTTTAAAATTATATTTTTAGGTAATGATTTTGCCATCCAAAGCTTATCAGGTCACATCCTTTTCGCTCAAAACAACCTTAGCGAAGCCCAAGACGAATACCTTCACGTCATCAACTCCTTCGACCGTCCAGATGACATCCATTTGGTCTACGTGAACTGTTCCAAAGTTCTAGAACTGACCGACGATGACCAACAAGCCAGGAAGTTTATACTGACCGCCTGCAAATACCACCAAACGCCTTACGTTTGGTTAACAGCAGGGAAACTGTATTTTAAGGAAAACGACATGCTGAGTGCTGAAGAATGCTTGACAGAGTCCAACATGAAGGATAATAAGAATGCTGAAGTGTGGGGTTATCTTACTTTGGTTAATTTGAAGTTGAATAGGTTGGAGGAGGCTGAGCAGTGCTACCAGCAAGCTGTTAAGAATAATTTAAAAGATGAGGAGTTGGAGTGTGCTATAAAAGAGGAGTTTAGGAAGTTAAGTGCTCTTGATTAAGACGTATAATTGATGAAATAATAAATATAATAAGTCTAATGTAAAAATCAATATTAAAGAAAAAACAATAAACCTCTCAATAAAATTACCTGTAGTGTGTTTAAGACAGATGCAAACACATATTGGACTCCCATATCTACCTACTACACTCAGATGTAAAAAAGTGTTATATTTTTGTTATTTTTAGCCCTATTTTTTTGAATTTTTTAGTAAGGTGTATATAATTATATCAACTTTAATTCGTAAACTCAGTTTTTTATAAAGTTTAGTATTTGGCATATTATACAGGGTTAATCAAGGGGTTGTTTCTTTACCTTAAGTTTAAAATACCCTGTGAAATAATTTCGTCTGTAAAGTTTCTTAAAATATAATTTTACGGTCAGAACCATAACTCCAGAGCATTTTGTTTTTTGATTCATGTCAATACATGCTTTGATTAATTTTTAAGAGCGAAATGAACTGATCACGATCAATTTGTAATTTTTCCGATTATTATTACTTTTTTATGTAATTTGACTATTGTCGTAACGTCATATATTACGCTGTATTAGATACTCTATACTAAATTTAAAAAAAAACGTTAAACACTGACGATACAGTTCTGGATTTAATAAACATTAATAACAATAACAGAACCTACGATATTAAAGAAAACATCTGCAATACTCAAGCACAAAAAATATACAAATAATAAAAAAATGTCATACAATACAAATTGTAAAACTTGGAAAATAAGTTCGTTATAATAATGCTTTTATTTATTCACTATTCTAATAAAGAATATGCTTTCCTTTAGAAACTCTCTATTTATTTATCTAGTAACGCTAAAACACTCTATTTGTAAGTCGATTAAAGAAAATAGTATGATTCATTGGCAAGCGATGTAAATATTTGTAATCAGGTAAAATTGTGATGTAAGAGGAGGCTTAGCTTGCCGGCGGCGAGTTAGTAGTAGATAGGCCGGCCGGGTGTTGTGTTGTGTTGTGCATTGTCACAGAGCTGACAATTGAGGGTTGCGAGTCTGTTGACTATCATAGTTGCGAGTCGTTTGACTGTAAGGCAACGCGGTCGTTTGACCACAAGAAGAAAACCTCTTGTGACGTCCTGCCTTCGAGTTGATCTTGAGAGTTTGAGGTCTCCATAATGTCTTCTCGATTGACGATGCGGCGTTGGGGTCGTGAGGTACCCCAATTAGCCTATTCGATTGGGATGCGAATCTGTTTAGCGGCAGATTTGCGTCCGGAGGAAGCCCCTATACTATTTCAGGTGACACTAGCTAGTTGTTGAAGATTATTAACCAATAGATCCGAATAATATTTGAATTAGATGGAAGATATGGAATGGGATATATTGAATAGAATATCAGTGATGTCAGTGGCTAGGGGGCGGAGTACTCCCGGATGAGTCTTACTATTTAACTATCAATTTTACCCAGATCAGTAAATGTTTGTTTTGTTATTTTCATGTACAATGAGAGAGTGCTTGGCAACGACCAACTAAATGGATATTTGAGGTGAATTTGCATTGTGAGACCCGGTTGAGTAAGCCCCAAAAATAGCAATTTTAGAAAATCATACAATTCAAAAAAATTTACGTAAGTCAAGTAATATGTCATTAAAATTACTAATCCCACACCCGGCATTTCATCAGCCGACTATATTTATTAAAATAACAATAGTTTGAGTACCTAGGTCGACTCAGCCTTAAATAAATACTTGGGATTCACAATCCTGAGGTAATAATAGGCGGTTGAAGCGTAGTGCTAGCCACATTACCTTCCTTGTATACCGAACGGCTCTAGTATGGCAAGCTGTACCTTGCTACTCCCAAGGCGTTAAACGCTATATACGGGAGCTATTATTATTATTATAAAATTACTAATTAATACATGGACATTGGAGAACACAAAAAAGGCGTATCAATAAAATTTTATAATAGGAAAATTGTAAATGGATATAATAATTTAAGAGTCATAAAAAAATAAATACTAGACTTTTAACCAGTGTGTGAGATAATCAAAATTTTAAAATTCAAAATCGTTCATGATTAAACATCAACAAAAAAAATCGTTTACCGCATATAGGCCTCTCTCCAGTAGGTAAGTATTATTTCAGAGCGTTGCGAAATGCGGGAAAGAATGAAAGCGACTGGATATTCAAAGGCAGAGGATTGTACATTTTTTTGGTATTGTACAGTATTGAGCCTTTAACTAGTTCTAAGCTTGGAGTTGGCAGATAAAGATCGTGCTCTGCATTTCTAAGTGGATAGTTGTAAGACGGCCTTTCGGGAATAGCAGATATGTGCTTGCGGATTAAGCAAACGGATTCAAAAAAGAATAAAGAAGGAAGAGTCAGTATTTTGAAAATAGATTCTGGCAGTGACTTCTACTGTTCAGTCCCAATAAATATCGAACTGCTCTCTCTTTTGAAGTTTGAAAATACGATTAAATTTTGTCGCGCACCAACAAATTGTAATGTAATAATAAATCAATTGTAAAGCATCTTCAACAAGGATAAAGATAAAAATAAATGAAAGAAATAAAAAGTTAGATTATATTTCTGAATATTAACCAGTTTTAAAACAGGAACTAACTACACTGTATAGTTTCAAAAGACTCTAGGAAACAGAGAACCTATAAGCTTGACCCCTTTTTATTTCTGTTATTTCCTTCGTAGGTATACGCGCTCTGATAAAGATTTGCTTATCTCGAGACCCCATCACAAAAATGAAATAACGAAAAGGGTTCACACCTTCCGTCTGCATTCACATTATATTTGTGGTGCCTCCAGGTGGCGTAGCGAACTTTTATACCGGGCCTTATCAAGATCGTGAATAAATCTTTCCGGCCTTTTTTCAAGTCCAAATGGCAGTAGCTGGTAGATAAATGAGAGCGCATGGTGAAATATAAAGGTTTGATATACGTTTAAATAGGAGAGATAATTATAATTACCAAAGGGGCTAAATTAGAGGAAATGTCAAGCAATAGGCGTTTATAGTTTTTATGTTGGGTCATATATAATATACAGTCTCTATTTAATTATGAATAATTTATAAACACTATTATGGTTTCCATTAAAATTCTATAGATAATTATATTAGTGTCTCAACATACCTGTGTTAGAATAGAATTCGACAAAGGCACTTGGACACTATGGGATTATTTCTTTATCATCATCAGCATCATCATCATCACCATATACTCCTAACTTTTTTGCTTTTTCAAAAGAATGAACTGTGTGGTCAAAGGTTCCAGTCCAGTTCCAGAAGATGCAGTCAGTGTATAAAAAAACGTAATTTTGAAGGTAGTAAAAAGAGAGTGGAATATCTGCTTTCAGAATTGATTCTAACGGATGCAAAAATGCATTTCTCTTCGTTGAGAATACTTCGAAAAACACTAGTGTTCAAAAGTTGTCTACTTTTTTACCTCTATGGACAATAGTTATTTTTTATACAAGACGATAAATTGGTATTTTTTCGTGAGACGATAATGCAATTTTATTTTCGTGTATAAAACAATATTTTTTTCCATAGCGAGTTACGTTTTAAAAAAAAAATCAGAAATTATTAATTCAAGGCATTCATTACGAGAATATAGAAAAAATATTGTGCTGGATTGGCGTTGGTTTCTATGTAATTTGACAAATAAATAAAGCTGTCTCTTTAGTTGTCAGTTTTGAGTCAATATTTTTTAATTCTCTTTCGTATCGATTGCTGATTGAATTGGAACCAGGAATGGCTCAAAACGAAATAAGTAAATTCCCCACAGATATTCAGGCTGAGGCGACAAACGCCAATATCCAAACTACTTCCATTTTAATCCCGAATAACTTATGAATAAGAACAAAAAGATTTTCAAAAATGGAAGCAATTAAAAAACGTGCGATGGGTTAAAAAACGTGTTTTTAACCTATTCTCGCTGTTAAAGTATCATTTAATCTACCCTTGAGGTTAAAGTACTATTTTATCTACTATTTTTGATAGATATAAGGCAATTTTAACAGTTGCTATGGAAAAAAATATAAAAGACAACTCTTGTAATAACCTATAGAATATATCTGATTAATAAAAGGATCTAAAAGGATTAATACTAAACAGACGGTTAAAATATGATAACTAACATTCAAAGTAATGACTCTAAAAATATAGTATTTTTAATACCTATTTAGAGGTACCAGCCGTTTTAGTAACTTAACGTATGCGGCTTCTTGCACCATCTACACCCGCATGAAAAAAATTAGGTTACATCTTTTGTCAAGGTCAATGCTTGACATTTCTTATTGCATTGGTGAGTGACTTGAAATTTCATATTATCAGTGGCGGTTTATATTAATAAAAATTAATTTTATGAATTAAGAGGTTGATATAATAAAAAAATATAGAAGAAGCGCACTAATTTTTAAAAATATTGTTTTATTAACTAGATACCGAGTTTTCAAAAATACCCATATTATTTAAGATCTGATTTAGCTATACCAAAGAATATCTTAACTTATACTTATAAGCTTAATGTAGTAAACTATATTCAAAACAGATTTAGGATCTCGATTTATGGCAATTCAAAAAAAGCGTCTGAAGCACTAAAAAGAATATTCTTTTGGTCTGATTCCAGTATTTCCAATAACTTGCTTTCTTCCATCCCGTTTTTTGAAATGAAACCCATTTTTTTAAATTCAAATATAACGAACTTGGAAATCTTAGTTTCTGGAGATTCTTCGATAAACTGCCGGAAAATAGTTTCTACTGTGATTTTATCCTTTCGCATTATTTTTTTTTGTAAACATTTCAAACAATGTAGGGTATTCTTTGTAATTTGATTTTGTTTGGGAAACGTTTAATAATATTTTCTAAATTGAAATCTGTAGTTTGTTTGGTTTTTTTTCAAAGATTATATACGTATTCTGGAACTTTTAGTGCTTCGGACGCTTTTGAATTGCCTAAATCGAGATCCTAAATCTTTTGAAAATAGTTTACTATGATTAGTTATGCTTTTGATTCACCAGAATATCGCATTTTTATATCTTATTTTGCGTTATGACATTAACATGAAACGTAACTTCAAAAACGTGACATCTAACAAATTATTAATAATCGACGTTCATTTTTGTTGGTAATTTTTTATTTCAACTGATTTATTAATAATAAATAAGGATAGTGTTATTCTAAATGGGTATTAAAAATACTATACCTATAGATCCGCACGTACAATTATGACGTAACTAACTGTAACTGTCATTTCTTGAATGTCACATTACCCTATTCACCTCTTTCAAATTTTTAACCCTTCCATCCATCAAACTCAATATATTCGTTATCTTTACACTATCGAAAACCCCTTTTCCATCTTCGTTATTTGATATCTTTATATTTACGGATGTAAAAAAGCATAGGAAACAATATTCCTTCCCTATGAGAACTTGTTTTTTTTTATTTTCACCTTTGTACCATATGCATACCTAGGTGTATCTACCTTCGTAAGAAGGTAACATATCTGTTACATATTTTATTGTGTTTTTTGAGAAACAATAGATGGATAGGTCTAAAATTACAGCCTTAAATTTTCAAATGTTATTTGGGTCGATATACATATAATTGATATGTTTTTAAAATATACAGAGTGTTTCAAATTCCTGTAGCAGCTAGCAGGAATTTCACTAAGAGTTATCATAATACTGAAAAAGTAACGAAATTCAACTATAATAATGCCTAACCAATCCAACTCAAACTGATCTAAATTTTATCATTCTTATATTAACTTTATTCGTTTATAAAAAAAAGTCGTCGTAGATTTGACAACATAGTTTATAGTAACACTAGAAGAAATCTTCCCTCAACTGGACTGGACCAACAAAGGATTAAAATAGATGGAGAATATCTTAACCATCTAAGATTAGCTGATGACATAGTCCTAATTTCCAATAGTCTTGAAGAACTACAAGCACTAATTAATGAACTAAATGCAGCCAGCAATAAAGTGGGTCTCAAAATGAATCTAGCAAAAACTAAAGTAATATACAACGAACTAGTGGAAAGAAAGGGCATTCTAATATATAACACGACACTGGAAACAGTAGAAGAATATAAAATATATATTTGGGACAACTAATAACGCAGCTCGAGATGAAAGAAACTCAATCATATCCAAATCTAGAATGCCACTTTATCTAAAGAAGAAAACATTTGACCAATGTGTACTACGTCATGACATATGCATGTGAAACCTGGATACTTGAAACGGACATCATAAGGAAACTGCAGGTCGCACAACGCTCAATGGAACGAAATATGCTGGGAGTCACCAAGAGAGACCGTAAAAGAATAGAGTGGATACGACAAAAGACCCAGGTAATAGATGTTATCCACAGAGTCAAATCCCTCAAATGGCAACGGGTAGGACACCTGGCACGAAGAACAGACAACAGATGGACCACAAAAATTACAGCATGGTACCCAAGAGGAATTATTAAGAGACCTAAAAAAAACAAACCTGAGATGGGACCATCATATTAGGAAGTTAGCAGGTATATCTTGGGCCCACATAGCCAACAATATAGAAAACAATGGGCCCAACTACAAAGAGAGTATTTAAATATATAAGGGAGGCTACACCATAATTGTAAATGGTTCAATAAGATGAGAATGATGATGATGATTATAATACAGTTTGAGACACCCTCTGGGATAAACCATCCCAGAGGGTGTCTCAAACTTATGTCAAAATAAGAACGTTTTTTTTTTACTTCGTATAATAGACCGTATGGGGTCCTCAAAATATATACCTAATAAAAATTAAATCACTAGAACAAGATATACCTATTTAACTTGAAAACACACGAACATTTTAAAGTGTCCGTTTTTTCGTGACTTCATTTTAATGATGCTTCCAATCCTTTCAAAAAAACTCCTTCATTCAACATATACAAAACGAATAATCACACACCATCCAATCCAATCAACTCCATTCAAAAACACCGCAAAAAACATCCATTTAAACCTATACATACCCATCACGTTTAACACATTCATAAACCAACCATCTCCACCAGCGTTTACCTCTACCAGAGAAAATTAGCACCTGAAAAGAACTGCTCCAACATCAATTCCGGCTCCTGCTCCCCATTGGTCGTCCCCAACGTCGTCACCACGCCCCCTTCCAGCTACCAAGGTAACCGTGGGTCCGCCCATGGGCCCGTTGTGCTGTTCTTCGCCCCTGCTGTTGTAAAACCGGACCTGTTGTGGCTGCGGCATCGGTGTAGGACTGGGCATAGAGTCGCGCGGAATGCGGTGCGGATTGAGCGGTTCAGTCGTTGACGGTGCGGCATTTCAGACGGATTGAGCGACGGATTACCGATAGAGAGTAACATTGTTGAAGCGGGGTTAAAAAAGCGGTTTTGGACTAGGATTGTGACTTTTGGGTGGTAATAGAGACGTTTCGTTGTGGTTTCTAGTGGTTTAGTGTTATTTTGGATTGTATTTTTGTGTTTGAATGTTCATTGAAGTTGAAGAAGATAGAGATCTAAGTTTTTGAGGTAAATATGTTATGAACTAGTACTGTTAACGTCGAAATTTCTTTGTATCTATATTATTATCGATTTAATTATCTATATCACTGTCTAATCTACAAAACTATAACATTTTGAATAGTAATACAACATATACCTATATAACTATATTACAGTTGGTGATAAGACACAGCAAAATAAAACATTAAAGGTTGATTCTCACTATACCTTCCGTTTCCATTCCATAACCGTTCCGTATTTTTTATTGTATTGACGCTATACGTAAGCTTCCGTTCCGTATCAGTTCCATACTTTTTATTGTACAATTTATATCATTACGAAAGTTTTATTTTAAAAATTTGTATCTTTTGAAAAAGGTAATCGATTTAATTAAGAGGTGAAAGAATAAATAAATATCAGCAAAAAGTTAACAGAGCTGGTACAAATGTAAGAACGTGACAACGCTGTTTCCGATACTCTTCAGTCCGTCCGCCAAAAAAAATGTATGGACGGAAAGGATATGGAACGGAAGGGAAACGAAACGGATAGTGTGCATTGTCCTATTCATTTGCACGATATAATATTTTATGTAAACGGAAAGGAGCCGATATGGAAAGTATAGTGAGAACACTTTACTTTTACACTGGACGCGCGTTTCGCTAACCATGTTAGCATCATCAGTTATAATTAAGGTTTCCATAAAGGCTTTTGGAAATTCCGGACAAATGAACTCAGAAATCCGGACAAATGAACTCTGAAATCTGGACAAAATCCGGACTTCGCGTCGCAAAAAAGAAACATAAAAATAAATTTATTTATGAACTTTTATAGGACGCAAATAATAGCCCCGGAATCAACAAAATATAAACCAAACAAAATTCAGTGTCCAGGAGTGTAGTAGTGTGTCCGGTTAAGTAGAGTTGTAGTATCGTAGAGACTAAAATCTAAAATATTTAACAAAGTAACTGAGAAATTAATTCAACCCTTATTCAACTGTAACTGGTAAAATACAGGGTCGCTTTTATGGACCGGAAACGGTCGATAATTAGTTAAAATATAGGAGGTACCGCAAAAAGTTAAATACAAAAGTTGTGACAAAAGTTATAGGATTTTTAATCTATAATGTCTATTAGCGGGTAATAAATTTAAGTATACAGGGTCAGTCATAAAGTCGTGGCACATCAAAGTTTATTTTTTTTAAATAGACCCCCTGTATATTATTGCATATTTTAATTCTTCTTTCGATTCTAAGCAAAAATCGAAATACACACAATGTACCTCAAACCTCAAACCAACCGTTTCCGAGTTATTGACTTTTGAACATGTCACTTAAACAATTTGATTTAATTAATTTCGATATATTCAGTTTCATTTAATAATGTCATTCTGCCGAAACTGTGATACTGTTGTAATGGGCTTTTAAATTCCTATTAGCTACAAGTAAATTTAAGTATACAGAGTCGGTCATAAAGTTGTGGCACATCAAACTTTATTTTTCTTAAATGAACCCCCCTGTTTATTATTGCCTATTTCAATTATTTCTTCAATTTTAAGCAATAATCGTAATACACAATGTACATAAATTGAAGAATTGAAATGTTAAACGAAAATTTTGTAATTTCCAGACTTGATATAATCTCAATTTATACATCTATAAATGCTAACTTGAGAACTAATGTCGATATTATAAAGTATCACAGTTTGGGTAGAATGGCATCGTTAAATGAAACTGAACATATCGAAATTAATTAAATCAAATCGTTTAAGTGATAATATGTTCAACAGTCAATAACTCGGAAACGGTTGATTTGAGGTACATTGTGTGTATTTCGATCTTTGCTTAGAATTGAAAGAAGAATTGAAATATGCAATAATATACAGGGGGTTATATTTAAAAAAAATAAACTTTGATGTGCCACGACTTTATGACCGACCCTGTATACTTAAATTTATTACCCGCTAATAGACATTTAAAAATTCTATAACTTTTGTGTTTAACTTTTTGCGGTACCTCCTATATTTTACCTAATAATCCGTTTCCATACATAACAGCGACACTGTATTTTACTAAGTTAAAAAAAATCCGGACCGGACCGCCCTGGGCACTTTAAAAATCCGGACATGTGCGGGTAAATCCGGACGTATGGAAACCCTAGTTATAATCATCTGCTGATAATGCTAACTTGGTTAGCGAAACGCGTGGCTAATTCAAAAAAAAATGGCGCGGGGAGGCACGTATAGCCGCCCATACTAAAATATGTTAATAAAAAGTTGGTAGGCAGTTCTTTTAGTTTCAAAGTAAAGGAATTTTTCCATTTTTTTTATCTCAAAAATTGCGACTTTGACTGATTTTGATGTTGTTACAAATTTTGTTGCAAATATTATTCCTAATCTTAAATTGAAAACCGCGGTTCGCTAGCTACTGTAATTTTGGAGTTACGATTTTTTTAAATTTTTAACCCCTCACATACCCCTTTACCAACACCCACCCCCACCAAAAACTAATGGCCAGATTCTCGGGTGCCACAGTATTTTTGTTTCAAATTTGGTTAAAATCGGTTTAGCGGTTTTTGAGTTATAGTGTTACAGACAGACGGACAGATAGACAGACACCATGAAAATATTTTGTATTTTTGACTCAATTTCAGTGAAATTAAAAAAACTTTTTTTTTTGCCGATCTTAATAGTCTACCATACTAAGTCTACCTACTAATAAAGTGTTTTGGTGTATTGTGATAAATTAGTGGTATATTTTGAACCTTTTGTATACCTGATGGCACTGAAAAATTATATACCTACATTTGTATCAAGTCGTTCATGTATCTTGACATCGTTTTTCAGTTCACTATACTTACGCGAAGTTTTAAAGATTATTTTTAGACCTGCCGTGCATTCCCAATATACCAAACAGTTTGGTTTATACGTTTTTGAATCTATACCGAATCTATTATTAGATTATTCCCTCTTTATTTTGTAGAAAATCTAAGTATATCTTTTTTGTCCCATTTACGAGCTTGTTTTCTTCTAGTGACGTGATATATTTTGACATAGAAAAGCCTCTTTTGTTTATTGAAGTACTGTCAAAATTATTTATTATAATAAACGCATAGGCGAAAGTCGCTGATACAGTACTGGCTCCTAAATTGTAGGTACTTCTTCAATATCTGATTTGTACTGCATTGGGGAGTCCAGACAAGACCAAGGGACCAAGCCCAAAATTACAACCTAGTAAATCTTAAGATTCTTTTCATACATATCAAAATTTCTTTCATCAGTTTTTTTGCAAATACCTACCTTTTGCAAATACCTACCAAATAAAAACAAAGCTTCTGTAATTACCTACAAAATTGATCTTTTTTACATAGAATTAGTAGTTTTCGAGATATTCCGTCTCCAAGATCCCCGAATTTTCTCTTCAAAAGTCTTAACGCTACGGAGACTTCAAAAGCGTCATTGATCGAGAGGACAAATTGTTAATAACTCGGCTAAAATTTATATTTTTTGATGATTCAAAGTTCATTTAAAAGGTAGAATCAAGAGCTAACCGTGGGAAGTTCACATCTGGGAACTTGTTTGAATTTTATCATATACCTGAGCTCTTTTAAGACGGAAATGCTCCTATTAATCCAATGAAATTGCTTGATTTTTTCACAGCTTGTCAGCGACTGTCTTCTGAGTGTAAAATAAACAAAATCGGAAATTTTCCCCTTGCGGTTTTTGAGCAATAGGGGTAGTTTTTTTTAAACTGTACTACAACAATATAATTACACGCAAATTGTACATAATATATGATAGGAACGTTCTCTATAAGTTCGCCTAATGAATTTTTTTTATAAGTTTATTATTTCCGGACTTAGCGGCCGTTTCGTGAGCCCTTTGGGGTGGTTTTCACGTTTTCAAGTTTGTTTTACAGCAAATTGACCCGTATGAAAGTTGTTCGTAATAAATGGTAAAGCAACTTTTCCTCAGGATTTTTTTTGTAGCTTCATTATTTTTGGAGATAGCGTCCAGTTCATGAACAAATTGGGGTAGTTTCATAATTTTTGTTTAGTTCTACAAATTTACCAACTTAAAGGTATTCATAATATTAAAATTACATACGAACTTCCCTATGATATGTATTTATTTCCCCAAAACGAAACATGGAATTCATCAAGTGAATGAATGTTATGTTTTTTTTTATTTGTATCGTCTTCTTTTGTGTGATGGACCTGGCGTTGGCTCCTCAGATTTATTGTTGGTTTCTTTTGTTGCTTCGCATAAAGTAAAGTCGTCGTCAGAATCGCTGTCATCATTCTCGCAAATTGTAGGAGATGGTTGTACGTTCTCGCATGTCACCCTAAAACTACCCTAATTTGTTCATGAACCGGAAGCTATCTCCAAAAATAATCAAGCTACAAAAAAAATGTATGAGGGAAAGTTGCTCGTCCATTTATTATGAACAACTTTCATACGGATCAATTTACTGTAAAACAAACTTATTGAAAACCGCCCCAAAGAAAGGGCTCATGAAACGGCCGCTAAGTCCGGAAATAATAAACTTATAACAAAATTCATTAGGTGAACTTATAGAGAATGTTCTTATCTACAATTTGCATCTAATTATTTTGTTGTAGTACAGTTTAAAAAAAAACATCCTATTGCTCAAAAACCGCAAGGGGAAAATTTCCGATTTTGTTAATTTTACACTCAGAAGACAGTCGAAAAAATTTTTGGATGTAAACTTTAAAAAAGGAAGCTTGAAATTGTTGAATTTTGTTTTAATTGGACAAAAATACAATTTGAAAGTTGCCATTAATTAGGTATTATAGGTGTAGATTATTATAGGTATAAATTCTAAAGTGTCTAAATACTTAACAATTTAATTTTAATGGATACAACTTTTATTGGCCCTATCGATATTTTATAGGTATTGATTCATTTTCACGAACACAAATCAGTTGTAAAATATATAAAAACTAATATAATTATCGTAATTTTATTGTTTGTTGAAATTTGATAAAGACAAGGGGATTATATTTTCATTT